GTAACAATCATGTGCTACACAAATATAAAAAAAAATGGACATAAAATAACAGTCATGTGCCTGCTACATAGGAAGACAAAGTAGTGTATGTTTTTTAAAATAAAATTTCGGAAAATAAATAAGCTTACATAAAAAATTTGTTCTAAAAAATAACGACAATTACATCGAAAATTCGTTTAAAAAAATAAAAAATGTATAAAAATTAAATTAGCATGAAAATAAATATTTTAATCTAAACAAATCAAAATATAAAGATGAATGTATTAGATCTTAGGAGTATTATGATTAGGGTAAAAATGTGAATTGAGAATGACAAATGGTTGTTTAGTCCATGAAGGCTTGAGAGCCCATTCCAAGTTTCCAACGGCCCACTTCTTTTCTTTTCCTCGTCCGCACGCCAATGGCCCACTACTTCTTCCGATTCGACAACGACAGTCAGCGTATCATTCGTTTGCCGTCCTAGTTCCGAAATCCAAATCCTACTGTTCAGCATCAATTTGGGCGGACACACACAATCACACAAACAAAGCCTCCCTCGACCGAAACCAACCCCGCCAATCGGCCACCCATCCCTTCAGCAAAATAACAACAAGACGATTTCCCGCCCTCCTTCGCTCCACATTCCGCCACGTGTAGCCCCTAAGGCCGCTGCCTTCCCCCACACCATTTCTAACACAACCCTCCACAAAGCTTCCATCAATCGAAAATTCACAGTACAGACAGTACACCAACTCTCTCTCTCTCTCTCTCTCTCCACTGTCCGTAGCAGCCACTTTCCGGTGCGAGAGCGGGTAGATATTCTCTCTCTCTCGCTCTTTAGCGGCGAAAAAGGCGGTGCGCCTGTTTCGGTTGTGGTTCCGTGATGGACGCGGCACCACGGCTCGTCTATGGCGGAATTGAGCCTCGCTCGTCCGCCTCACTCGCTCATTACTCCAGAGCTTCGGTCAGACTGCCGGCACGGCGGAGAATCAGTCGCGTTTTGGCAGTAGCGACGGAGCCGAAGCCGGCGCAGACCGGGACGGACAAACCACCGGCGAATTCGGACAACGGCTCCGCCAAGCCCGGGCCGTCGAGAGTTCTTGCTAACGGAGCTTCGTCCAAGTCAGCGCCGAAGAAGCCCGTCAATGGAGTTGCTTCCACTGTAAGTTAGAAATTTGATTTATTAGTTTGATTCAATTGGAGTTCTGCATTATCGGCGGCTAGGTCTGTATAAGTAAGCATTTGGTTGGTGAGAGATTGAACTGAGAACGAGAATGAGAGTCGGTTCAATTGTCAGTTTATTCTTCCTGAAAGAAGGATTGCCGATTTTTGACCGAGGAATTGACTTTGGAATGGGCAGAGGATGGGAGAAGTTTCACAGGAGATCAAAAGAGTGAGAGCGCAGATGGAAGAGAATGAACAACTGTCAATCCTTATGCAAGGACTTAGAGGCCAGAATTTGAGGGACGAGCAGTTCGCCGATGACAGTATTAAGCTTCGCTTGGTTGAGGTAATGAATTGCATCTTCGACTAGGCTTTTTTGTTTCTTCACATATCAGAAGTGTTGGCTGACTGACACTATTTGTCTGTTAATGTGGACCTTGTATGTGCATAGGTTGATGAAAGCAGCGAGTTTCTGCCCACGGTGTATGATCCTGCCACGATTTCGGCTTACTGGGGGAAACGACCTCAAGCTGTTGCAACACGAATTGTTCAGTTGCTCTCGGTGGCTGGCGGTTTCCTATCACGAATTCTTTGGGATGTGATTAACAACAAGGTCAACGAGGTAAGTAAAGGCGGAACCTATCCCAGCTCAAAATTTTCCAATGTAGTTTGTCTTCCTTTCGTTACTGAAATTCTGTACTGGATATCAGAATCAAGTGGCTAGAGCTATTGAATTAAGAGAAATTGTGACATCGTTGGGTCCAGCATACATTAAACTCGGCCAAGCATTGAGTATTCGCCCAGACATACTGTCACCCGTTGCCATGACCGAGCTGCAGAAGCTTTGCGACAAGGTAGCTTCACAAGCTTTTGTCAATATTATCATCACTTTGTTTCCCTTTTCATTTACCAATTGAAACTTAATCTATCTCATTTAGCTTCATACATGCATTCAATCTCTCTAGTGATTTATCAACTTAGTCTTACAGTAATGTAGCTATGAGCTGTTCTTCCTTTTCTTTTCCCCTTTTGAGAAAAAAGAAAGTGATTCTTCACTTCTATATGACAGTTACACTTAATATGTCAGAGTTCATTGAAAAGGATAAGTAAAGAAGCCTCATGATAATTACTCCATATTTTCAGCATCCTCTGTAAACAAGAGTTCTCTGTTGCTGATTTTCTATTTAATGATGTCTGAAGGTTCCTTCATTTCCAGATGACATAGCAATGGCTCTTCTAGAGGAAGAGCTTGGAGAACCATGGCAGAATATATATTCTGAACTTTCTTCTTCTCCAATTGCTGCTGGTATGCTCATTGAGAACAGAGTTGAACATTATGCTAGTTTCTTCATTCATTGTTTTAGAGATGGTAACTAACAATCACCCTTTCGCATCCCTGTGCAGCCTCATTAGGACAGGTATATAAGGGTCGTCTAAAAGAAACAGGTGAACTTGTAGCTGTTAAAGTACAGAGGCCATTTGTTCTCGAGACAGTCACAGTTGATCTTTTCGTCATAAGGAACCTAGGCTTGTTTCTGCGGAAATTTCCTCAGGTAGGTTTCAATCTCTGTTTGGCTTCTGTGAGTGACATACCTTGTGATTATTGTCAGTAATGAATGAAGGTGATGATGTTCTTTCCCTCATTTTCATTTTCTCATCAGATCTCTGTCGATGTTGTTGGATTGGTTGATGAGTGGGCCGCTCGCTTTTTTGAAGAGCTAGATTATGTCAATGAAGGTGGAAATGGAACTCTTTTTGCCGAAATGATGAGGAAGGACCTTCCGCAGGTGAGTTTAGCAGTTACTAGTTAGGACTTTGTTAGTATACTTGGGTAAAATTTTCATTTGAGAACGGCTGTTTACAAATGTAAGTATCCGTGGACAAATATACGAGAGTGCACTACAGATGTAACCAAAGAAGAAACTGCTGTTGGAACTTTTGCAGAAAAGAGTAGCCAACTAGTTCATACTCTTTTACTCGTTTACAGACATCTTACAAAACTTGCGCTGAATTGCAAGATATTACTTATGATTGCTATGTCTAATTACTAGGGAAGCCAACTTTATTCATGAGTAAGAAATTGTCTCTTTCAGGTTGTTGTGCCGGCGACTTACCTAAAATATACTAGAAGAAAGGTTCTCACAACACAATGGATTGAAGGAGAGAAGCTTTCACAAAGCACTGAAAGTGATGTTGGATCATTGGTCAATGTTGGAGTCATATGTTACTTGAAGCAGGTATGCAGAGGTAGTCGTAAAGAACTGAACCATGAACTGTGTTTTACTTCAATTGACATTGGCAAATAACTTAAATCATTGTATTTTATCGAACTCTGTTCGATGATAGCTACTAGATACTGGATTTTTCCATGCTGACCCACATCCTGGGAATCTGATTCGCACACCAGACGGGAAGCTGGCTATACTCGACTTCGGTAATAATCTACTCAATACCTTATCATTTTACTTTCTCTTAGGTTCTTGTTGGTAATTGACTAAGTGCATATTTCCATAAAAGGATCCATGTTGATCCCTGGGTATAAGGTTGAATTGCTTGTGGAAGTAAATAAATTGAACTGTTCAGACTAGTTTTCATTGGATTTTCTTGGTTCTTTTTTATGGATGCTCAAGCTTGCTATTGGTTTAACAGGTCTAGTCACAAAACTAACTGATGACCAGAAATATGGCATGATCGAAGCTATTGCTCACCTCATACATAGGGATTATGATGCAATTGTCAAAGATTTTGTCAAACTGGGGTTTATTCCTGAAGGGGTTAATTTGGCACCCATTTTACCGGTATTGGCTAAGGTGTTTGATCAGGCACTTGAAGGTGGTGGTGCAAAGAATCTCAACTTCCAGGAGTTAGCAGCAGATCTTGCACAAATAACCTTTGATTATCCGTTTAGGATACCTCCTTATTTTGCACTGATAATAAGGGCGATCGGGGTTTTGGAAGGCATCGCTTTGGTGGGAAATCCTGAATTTGCCATTGTAGATGAGGCATACCCATACATTGCACAGGTATAACTTTCCTCTGCAAATGATGTCTTCATGAATTATTTTTCCTATACTGCTAGGGGTGATACAACATCCAAGCAAATACTGTAGTTCTTTTACTTTCATATTGGTGAGTGTTTCTTGATCTTTTTGGTTGGGACCTTTTACATCACATGAGATCAAGGTCGCTATAAAAGTATTATATGTCGACAATGTGAGGTCAACAAATTGTCAGTTCACAAGTCCATAACTCAAGTGGATGTTCAATGCTTAAACATGACTGAATAATATATGAATTACTTCAAATTGGAACTTACCATTTTGTTTGCTTGATCTCTTATCATCTGTCAGAGGCTCCTCACTGATGAATCGCCTCGTCTGAAAAGAGCTCTGCGTTACATGATTTATGGGAAATCGGGTGTATTTGATGCCGAAAGATTCATTGATGTCATGCAAGCCTTTGAGACTTTCATCACCGCAGCCAAAAGTGGAGGAGGAGCGGAGCTGAATGGGGATATGGCAGAACTAGGCATCATGCGAACTGAAAGTGGCGTCTCCTCTGCCTCATTCTTGCCTGCTTTTCCATTTGCACTGACCCAACAACCTACTCAACCAGTTCAAACAAGGGCAGCCTTAACCTTTTTGATCTCCGAGAAGGGGAACTTTTTCCGAGAATTCCTTCTTGACGAGGTAAAATCTATGATGGAACGTAATACTCCTGAATCTGGTTTCTGTTGATGTCAACTGTCAAGGCTTTCTCTGATCTCTTTTTCAACTGACTTCTTGTTGTTTCTTCTGGTACACCGTATAGATCGTTAAGGGTATTGACGCAGTGACGAGGGAACAATTGGTTCAAGTACTGGCACTTGTTGGATTTGGAAATGCTCCTCCTGTCTTCAGCATGGTTCCTAGACCCTTTAGACCACCAGCAGCTTTTCTCCCCAGCATAACCGAGGAGGACAAAGTCATTCTCAACAACGTCCAGAAGGTCGTTGAGTTCCTAACTGCCGGGAGCTCGCTTTCAACCACATCCACTCAGGTACCTTCTTTCATTGATCAAAGCAGAACTCAACCATTTAGGACATACACCATTGCAAGAAGTCGATATAACATTGAACGATGGCTTGCTTCTGGTTTTTCTTTATCAGGGGGGCGCCAACACAGCCCAGATTGTACGCGAGCTTCTTCCCGTTCTGCCTGGCATATCAGCCAGGGTTCTCCCCGAGATCATCTCACGCCTCTCGTCCAGAGTCGCTGCTCGCGTAATTCGGGATGCGTTTTTGTTGCAGTAATTAGTTCAGATGTGAACATTTGACTAGTTTATGTACATAAGTTCGCTAACACACGAGATACCTACAAATTACAATGGAGCATCGATTGTACAACTCCCCAGCACAAGGAAAGTGGATTTGGGATAGCAAAACAAGATAGACGCATAATGCATTCTCCAAACCAGATAGTTGAGGAAAGGAGAGAAAGTAGCCGCCTCCTATTCTGCACATCTGTACAATTGCATTGAATTATAATTGGGCCGGACCTTGTAGTCACATTAGAAACTGGCCCAAAAGAATTGAACTCAGAATTGGGTAGGGGCCGCGCGAACGCAGGCCCCCGCTGCCACAAATTATGACGTAGGCTCTTCCACTTTGGGAAGACCTTAGCCCAGCACCCCTCCGCAAAGTGCAATGGAGGTCACTGGCCTAGACCACAGGCCTTATTGATCGCCCGTTGATCCCGTCCAGGTAAGTATGTTGCTCAGCGGCAATTAGCTCTTATTTTATAGCCCTTCCTGCCTCTGGAACTCTTTCATGCTAGCGATGTGGTATTCCTGACTCCCGCTTCTGAACCATCCTCCGGCCTCGTCTAACTGCAACTCTTCGCCCGTCAGTTCTCACACCATTAATGGGAAGCTTAGTTGTTTGCCTTCTCTGTTAGCTGACTGAGCAAAAAACGCTTTTCAAATTGCAGTCTTTTACGGAGACACGATTAATAACCTGCAATATTCGAATTGAAGTTGACAGCTAACGGAGTCTTTTCCATCAGTTGGAATTCAAGAAGTAATGATAAGAAAATCTCCTCCCCACTCAGCTTCTTCCTCCAACCGTCGCGGTCCGATTCGAGTCAAGGCCAGGAGGGTAAACCAGATGTTCTTTGAGTTAAACTTTACTTCCACTCTTCAGTTTCCTTGCAGCCCATATTTGGTCCATCAGATCTGATATTTCCCCTTTCCTTGTTGTATAGGTGATCGCTAAGATAGCAGGGGGGAAGCTTTACATATCTTAACCAGGTTGGTATTCCTTCCACATCAGCTTTTCTCTGTGCCTAGATGGTTGTGTGATTAGTTTACCGATGTCTGCATATGAGAGCTCTTAGTTATTGTTGGAATATTTCTGGCCTGTCTTTTGTGACTTTAGACGAATATTGTCATGAAAGTTTTTTTTTTTTTTTTTGCTAATGGGGAACCTTTAGTTCTCAGGAGACAGGTTTTGCATCAGGAACACAAAGAACGAACTAACAAAAGAAGTTCTCTCTTATATTTCATCATCTGTTTCATTCCTTCTCAGTTGAGCTCCCTCTTATTATTATCTGTTTCCTGACACTCCTCAAGTATCTCCTGGAAAATTAAAAGTGTTTTAAGCTTTATGTTCCAAGAGAATGTGTACATTGGACTAGTTTAACATACAATGAGCATCAATTACAATGCCCCCTCTAAGAAGGAAGTGGATTTGGGATAACAAAGCAGGATAGATGCATTATCTAGACCAGATAGTTGAGAAAAGGAGAACAAGTAAACTCCTATTCTATACATCCGTTCAAGTGAAGTACCATTTATTACACGGATATACAACAATTTATGACATACTCGTCGAGATTGTTTCCAGAACTCTGGAAGTCTCATCACCTCTGGTTTCATGGGAACATGGGTAATCTCTGCTCTCCCGAGGCATAGGAGATGATACTCCTCTTGAGTGGTGAAATGTAGTTGGCGGCATGAAAGGCAGCAGCACGCAACGCGTTAAGAGGCCCGAAATCAACCGAGTATAGCTTCTGAAAACCATCCAGGAGAGCCATCATTGCCACGTTCGCAGGTTTCCTTTCTGCTTCATACTTTCTCAACAGTGAGACCTGCAAGGGTAGCAAAGAAGATGCATAGTTCATCAGCCTTGAGACACTACTGGTTCCTGTCCTTTGCAGCCAAAGGGGGAAGAAACGGTGCATAACATTTGACCATTACGTACCTCCCCAATGTCTGTTCCCACTGCCACCCCTTCGCCGATGATTCTTGAGAGGGTAAATGCATCTCCGAAACCCAAATTAACTCCTTGGCCAGCTAAAGGATGAACAGCATGTGCTGCGTCGCCAATAAGGACAATACGTTTTGCTATGTAGTCGTTAGCATGCATCAAGGACAGGGGAAATGCAGCTCTCTTGGAAGCCAACTTCACAACCTTTGGTGGAACCTCGAAAGATTCATTGATCGACATTGTCAAGTTTCCCCCAAGGAATGAAAACTTGTTAGTGCCGTTTGAGAAGCTTGACTTTGGATGAGGGCCATATCCGTGATCCAGAGCATGATTTACAGCTTTTACAAATTCATCCTCATTCATCGCCGTCAAGTCTGATGACTGCTCTGGGTTCATGGTCCAGACAATATTGCTAAAATTATTCCCGATCGGCAACAGAGCAATTGGACCATCTGGTAAAAACCGTTGCCAAGCAGTGTGATTTTCAACAGAATGCTCAACGGTACAGATGATGGCATTCTGTGAATAGTTCCACCCAGTAGTTCTAAATCCTGCAAGAGTCCTGACTTGTGACTTGGCCCCATCAGCTCCAACCTGGAATGAATATTTAAGAAACATATGAGCATATCTACAGAGTCTAGTAGACCTATGCTTGCTGCTCTTCTCATTGAAGCCAGCCTATCACTGTTCACAATCTCGGGCCATTAAATCTAGCTAGGGAAGTTAAACTTAGTCCGCATGGCATGTGAAATTACCACCAACTTCGTGTATAGGCTGCTTCCATCACTCATTTCTAGCTTTACTAATCCCGCTTTCGTGTATGATGCTTCTCTAGTGTTATCATCTGCCTTCAATGAAGAACTTGGATATCGAATCATTGAAGCCAACCTAGAAGGGTAGATCATCTTTTGGAAGTCTGTATCCTGCAATCTTATAGATTTGCATTTAGGATATATACACATATTGATATAAAATGAGTTCGAGGGTAGAGAATATGGGGACATAGAGGTAACTGGAAGCAGTATTCATGGACTATGCAAATCTCAGAGGACAAAATCCAACATAAATTTGGGTTGAAGTAAAAGAGATAAAGCATACTGCAACTGGAAAATGACCATTTAGCAAGGGCAATACCTCAATACGTGATAACAAAGAACTATGAAGCACTCGATTCTCTACAACACACCTGCATCATCATGCAGACAACTATATCAGTGATAGGCGACAACACGAAAGTGAGCTAAGTTTGAGCACCTGGACTACAAGTCTGCATACCCTAAAACATCTTTGTCTACGTCTCTGGCGTCGTATGTTGTATATCCTAAGCCAGTGTAATCCCAGACCTACAGAATAAACATCAAGCATGAAACAGAAAATAGATGGTGGTGCATCAGTTCAAAGCAGATTCAACAACGACAGTCACACAGTGCAAATTGGTTTTTGCTATTGGTCACAGAAAGAAAACATACATAAGCAGATTGGAAGTTCCACATATATTCTACAAAAGAAAACCGCCCTAACCAGCAGTTCAATCTCGGTTATGTGCAGGAACTAGTTAGGGGTACTATTTTCTGATTAGCCATCTGATTCAAGTTCACTATGCGTAAAACTTGCACCCAATTCAAAGAATACATGAAGGAAAAGGCTCAAGTACGTCCCAAATTGAAATGGAAAGGCCACCGAAGTATATAGTTGCTAAACAAGCTAAAGATGGTACTGAAAATGGTTTGTACCTGCATCTTATCAAAATATGCATGCCGATGCTGCTGAACGTGTTGCCAAGCACCAGCATCTGCAAACTGGAAGATATTACTAGCAGTGCAATATGTCCATTGAGTATATTCGTCATCCAGACACAATATTAACAATTCCATGGAAAAAGAAAATAGAACTTGAAAATGACACAAAGGGTCAGGAAAAGTGGCGTATGAAATAGCATTCCGGACATCACACAGACTGTACATAATGTTTGCCAGAACGATTTCTGAGGAGCTCAAGTTTCTCGAGTTTTTGCTATTGCTCTATACCAGCCTACTCATAACAGTATTTTGTAATGTAGATATCACGCCGGTCCAGTTACAGAAAGTTCCAGATCCCGGGCAGAATTATCGACACCATGCTGAACATACCTTGGAAATAAGCAATGGTTGCTGGTGTCACCGTACTGACCCTCGGATCAGGTGGATCCTCCCTCTTGATTGACAGCTTTTTAGCCAAAGCAGGATTGCTATCAATAATGGCAACTTTCAGGTGCTTCGTCAGGGGCTTTGTTGCTGCACACAGATAAATACAGCGAATTTCATCGCTACAAGAGTGTTTGGCCATCAATGAGGACTAACTAAGCCTAATCGGCCGAGCAGGCAGTCTCCCATGAAAACAAGGATAATGCAAAGAGTTCAGCTACTATCTTGTACTAATTCAGTAGCAAATTGCACAAAGGAGATGTCCCAATCCCAAATACACACTACCTACCCAAAGAACAAGCTAGGGCCATCCCCACCATGCCTCCTCCGACAATGGCAAGGTCGTAAGGTTGCTCATTTCCAGTGAAAGTTCCATGCTTATCCTGATTAGGGTAATTGCAACAAATGAAAAATTCACAGAGAAACGAAACCTCATTGAAGAAAAAATGAAAAGAAAGGCGGGATAGCGAACATGGTTAAGATGGCCGGAAGAAGGACTTGATCCTGCTGCTGCAGCAGCTTCGCCGCCGCTACAGAAGCCTCTCTTCCATGGAAACTTCAGTTGATCGTGATTCGAGTAAAGATTCCTCCTCGCGACCAATCTGACACCACCAATTAACCAGGACAAAGAGTAATTTAGGATTATGGAAAGTACCAAAATTTCTATAGCCAAACGGGAAACGACTCGCGGAGCCGGGAAGCTAGATCGGTGAATCAGAATGGCAATGGAGAATATGAGCGAAGACGAATCGGACCTGTTCATTCTTGCAGCAGCTCCAAGTGTGGCGGTTAATGGGGAAGGAGACTGAAATACAATAGAGAAACAAATAGCCTGTTTTTATGCTTTTGAGTAGCCAGTTTCCCTCTTCCCCTTCATTTCCTGCTCCAGTCGCTTTCACTGGTTCAGAGTTCACCCTTCAGACCGCCATCCCTATCTCTTTCTCTCTCCACTTTAATTTCTTTTTCTTTTATTTGCTTCGTCTACTCTCTCTCTCTCCATCTCTGTGATTAATTTCCATTTTCCAGGTCTTTCTTTTCTTTCTTATCGTTTTTACTTGAGCAGTGCTTGACTTTGATTCTTCCTTTCCCTAAATCTACCTCCTAGTATCTTCTCAACCCTTTCATTTTTTCCATCTTGATTCTACTGCTAGCTTTGCCCCTTTCTCTGAGTTCATTGCTGGAGGGTTGGGTTAGGAGTCTTAGGAGAAAAGATGGGGTTTTGTTGTTTTCTTCCATTCCTTTCTTGATTCCCTCTTTCTCTTCTCTTCTCTTCTCATCCCCTACCTTCCTTCCATCATGGTTGATTCTCTTTTGCCAGATTCCCTTCCTCTGTGCGTCGTTCTGCTATAAGTGCTTCCTTTTCCCCCCTTGTTTTTATAAAAGAATTTTCCTTTCCCCTCTCTCTCTTTTTCAAGTCATATATTTTGTTTGGACACAGCACAGGCCCCTCACATGCATGCTCTTCGATTTGTCTGATCTGGATTGGATCAGAAGAAAGAGAGAGAGAAAGAGAAGTGTACGTGACAGAGAGCAGCAGAAAGAGGGATTCTTCTTGGCTGACTCTTTCATTTGGAGGAGCATATGTGTTGAAGAAGGAGAAGTAGAGGAGTAAGGAAGGAAGACACGGTGAGATTTCTTGTTCCCTCTTTGGATCTTTCTTTCTGTTTGGCGCCGCAAGCAGTTATTTTGCTTTGTGTTAGCAGAAATCTGCAACCCCTCTTTCACTTTGAGTCTATTAGTTGAACTGGGTATGGGTCTTTGATGGAGATGATTTGGATTTCGGGGCATTGATTCATAATTCAGTTCATTCTTTGAATGGAGATACATATTGTCATAGCTTGAGGAAGCTGGATTGGAGGCTTGTTGGGCTGTTTGAGGTTTTCTAAGATTTGGGTTTGTTCTGCGATCCTCGACTGCCTTCCCTGATTTTACCATTCGGTTCTCGTTCGGTGGTTGGTAATTTAGCAGTGTAAAGAGAGCAATATAACTGGGCTTGACTCTATCCATCTCTTGGTTTCTAGGGCTCTGACTTGGCTTTGAAGCGAGGGAGGAATTGGGTTTTGATTGCTTGGAGTTCGCTTCTGAAATATGGCGGGTGTTGATGTTTCAAAGTACGCACATAGCCCTGTGCACAAGGCTGTTGCAACCAGGGATTATGTTGGTCTTAGAAAAATTCTAGCTGGGCTGCCTAGGCTCTGCAACCCAGCTGAGATTCAGACCGAGTCAGCTTCAGTGGCTGAAGAAGTGAAGGCTGATGCCATCTCTGCTGTTATTGATAGGCGTGATGTCCCCAACCGTGAAACCCCTCTTCACTTGGCTGTCAAATTGGGCGACGAGACTGCTGCCGAGATGCTCATGGTAGCTGGTGTTGATTGGAGCTTGCAGAATGAGCAGGGTTGGAGTGCTCTTCAAGAAGCAATTTGTAACAGAGAAGAGGCAATTGCAATGACGATTGTTAGGCATTACCAGCCATTGGCTTGGGCCAAATGGTGCAGGAGGCTGCCTCGTTTGATTGGGACGATGCATAGGATGAGGGACTTCTATATGGAGATCACATTCCATTTTGAGAGTTCTGTGATTCCTTTTATCTCAAGGATTGCTCCTTCTGATACTTACAAGATTTGGAAGAGAGGTGCAAACTTGAGAGCGGATATGACCTTGGCCGGGTTCGACGGTTTTAGGATTCAACGTTTGGATCAGAGCATCCTTTTCCTTGGTGATGGATCTGAAGATGGGAAAGTGCCTCCTGGCTCACTTTGCATGATAACACACAAAGACAAAGAGGTGATGAATGCTCTTGATGGTGCGGGTGCGCCTGCAACCGATGACGAGGTTAAACAAGAAGTGAATGCGATGTCTCAGACAAACATTTTCCGCCCTGGAATTGATGTAACTCAGGCAGTCCTTTTGCCACAATTAACGTGGAGGAGGCAGGAGAAATCAGAACTCGTTGGTCAATGGAAGGCTAAGGTCTATGACATGCATAATGTGGTTGTTAGCATAAAATCCAGGAGGGTCCCAGGGGCAATGTCAGATGATGAGTTCTTCGCATCTTCCAATGAGAATGAAACAGAAAGTGAGGAGCTTAATGACATTTTGACAGAAGAAGAAAGAAGGCAACTTGAATTGGCTCTAAAACTGGATTCTTCAGAGTTAAGCAGTGAGAATGGTGATGGGATGGTTGCACATCGGCATAGTTCTTATGATCATAGGGATATTCCGATTGAAGATGGTAATGACTTCAGGAATGGGGAGACTAAGCAGGAGAAGAAAGGATGGTTTGGGGGATGGAGGAAACGCGACCAGAAAGTTGAAGGACAGAAGAAAATTGTTCCACCTAGAAGTTCCCTATGTGTGGAAGAGAAGGTGAGTGATCTTCTTGGGGACTCCCCACCTGCTAGTCAAACAAGACCCGGAAGGCATTCCGTGGAGGTGACTGTGAGGGACGAGCACAGGAGAGGAAGGGAAGCAAAGGCGTCTACTTCGGCAAGTTCTGAAGCTAGTAACCGCAGGAAGGAAGGAGGTCGAGACAATGAGTATAAGAAAGGGTTGAGGCCAACACTGTGGCTGTCTCCAAACTTCCCATTGCAGACCGAAGAGCTTCTCCCTTTGCTTGACATCCTCGCTAACAAAGTTAAAGCAATTCGCCGATTAAGAGAGCTGCTTACCACAAAACTCCCTCTGGGAACGTTTCCAGTCAAGGTTTGTGCTACTCTCAAATGGTACACATGACTACTTTTCGGCAAAGCCATGCTTAGCTGTTTACTTAATTTCTGGCCTTGTCCGGGTTTTTGCATCCGGTTAATTTCCTCATCAAAGAATGATGGTGCTTATCTTCTGAACAGCTTTAGACCACTGTATACCGGTTTTTGACATGTGCTTGACTTTGGAACTTTTTGAGAAGAGGGTAATTAACTGAATCATAGAATTTTCGGAGCTCACAACCTCTCCTCATATGAGCATGTGTCAGGGGGTTTGAAAGTACTAGGAACAAATCTGTTTTGTAAAAGTTTGCTTAATATGGCTATAGCCCCTAGCATCTTATATTTATTTTATGTTTTGATCGCGATCACGATGGCAATCTCTCTGCTAACTTCAACCTCGTTAAGTTCAAAACTTGAAGCGGTGATGTTCTGCTAATTTTGAAGGTGATTGACATGTTTTTGTTTTGCGGCTGTTCAAATTTGTGCTTGCAGTCTGACTAGTTATATTTAGAATGTGTTGACTGGCCAACACTTACAGACTTTTTACATACTCGAAATTGTTAGCTATTTCTGTTCACAGTGAATATGTGACAACTTCAACCACAGTTTCCTATCTTGAGAATCAAAGACCATAAATGTAGTGATTTTGATGACAGTTTTGTCCTGTTTAGAAATGCTGAGGAGATTTGAGATGGAATATATTACATTCTGGAAATAACTTTGGTTGTGTCTGGAGTCTAGTTTCAGTTGGAAAGCACTGCCTCCTGACTATACTTAGCTTCTTTTTTTGCATTCATGAATGATGATCCAGGTAGCTATCCCTGTTGTTCCCACCATTAGAGTCCTCGTTACGTTTACCAAGTTTGAAGAGCTGCAGCCGTTGGAAGAATTTGCTACTCCACCATCAAGCCCGTGTCCGGCCCTGGGAGGCAGAGAGAGCCCTGGAATGACACAATCCGCAAGCTCATCGTCCTGGTTTCAGTGGATCAAGGCACCGTATCAACGAGCTAACTCGTCAAATGGATGTCCGAGCAGCAGGATCGAGACGACTCAGGACCCGTTTGTCATTCCTCCAGATTACACCTGGGTTACAGCCGAGGCGAAGAAAAAGAAGGCCCAGGAGAAGAACAAGTTGAAGAAAGCTAGAGGTGGTCAGAGTTGAGATGATAGAGAAGTTGTAAAAGAGAACTTTAGCTTGCCCATTGCAAATAAACCGCTCAGTGATCAGGCATCAAAGTAGGGAAGGGGAAGGAGTAGAGTTTGATGTAAAAGACCATTTACCAAGATGTGATTCTGTATTGTAAGGTAATAGAAACTTGGGTCCCTTTTCAGTCAAGGGAAGATTTGGTATACCATTGTGGGGAAGGAATGAAAAAGGTAAAAGGATATTTGTGATTCTTGGCTACAATGTGCTTAAGAAGATGTTTTGGATATATTTGAGAGGATGTAATTAAACAATTGCAGATTCTGTTGGTGCCAACTTCTATGCACTAGAATGTAATTTCAATTATATATGCAATGTGAATATCATCAAAGTGATGCAATTCAATTTACTTGATGCAATACATCACATTCAATTACTTATAACTGAGACAAACCACATATTTTGGCTAAAATGTAGTTTGATTTGATTGGATTAGACCAACCAATTTTTGGAGTGACAAAATCTTGAAAAGTTCACATGTATTTTTCAATCACCTTGTTAAATTCACATATATCAACCTCCTCTACGAAAAATTCATTCACTTTATCGTGCGTCCACTGCCCTTATAATTTTTATTACATGAAATCATTCAAAAGCCACAAATATAAAAATACATTTTGAGTAAAATGTTCATATATGTATATTTTTTATTTAAGTTCGTATTCGAAATATGTAACTGTAACAACAATACAACTTGCTTCATGAATCAACTTGAAGCAAACATTAATTTCCCTTCATAGTTCCCCACCCACCAGCGGCCCATAAGTACAAACCCGCGAAGCAATGAATCCCATAACACTCAACAAACACAAGATGGGCCGAACAAACAAAACCCAATTGCAAGCCCATCACCACCACACTCAAAGAGCCACACTGTGCAAGACCACGGTCTCAACCGTAAGCCCAGGCCCAAACCCAAAAAGCACGCCCCAATCCAGCCCTTCCCCAGTAGTCGCACACCCATCCGCCGCCGACTTCTTCCTCATCTCGTCCAAAATGAACAACACGCACGCGCTTGACATGTTCCCGTACTCGGCCAGCACGTGCCTCGACGCCCGGAGCTTCTCCTCCTTCAGCTCCAACTTAGCCTCGATCTGGTCCAATATCGCCGGCCCACCGGGATGGGCCGCCCAAAAGAGCGAGTTCCAGTCCGAGATCCCCAAAGGCCTGAACGCATCATCCAAGCACTTCTCAATGTTCTTGGACACAAGGCCCGGAACATCTTTCAGTAAATGAAACGTCAGGCCCACCTCGCGGAGGTGTCCGTCGATAGCACCCTCGCTGTTAGGTACAATAGTTTGGGCCGTGTAGACGAGCTCGAATATGGGCTTCTCGACTTCCGGGATTGGATCCGAGCCCACTATGACGGCCCCGGCCCCATCCCCAAACAAAGCCTGGCCCACGAGGCTGTCCAAGTGGGAGTCGCTCGGCCCGCGGAACGTCACGGCCGTGATCTCCGAGCAGACCGCTAGGACGCGGGCGCCCCTGTTGTTCTCGGCGAGGTCCTTGGCGAGGCGGAGGACCGTGCCGCCGGCGAAGCAGCCCTGCTGGTACATCATGCAGCGCTTTACCGACGGCCGGAGGCCGAGGAGCTTGGTGAGCTGGTAGTCGGCCCCCGGCATGTCGACGCCGCTGGTGGTGCAGAAGATGAGGTGGGTGATGCTGGATTTCGGCTGCCCCCACTCCTTGATCGCCTTCGCGGCGGCTTCCTTGGCAAGTTTCGGGATCTCCGGGACGACGACGTCCTGTCGGTCGTCGAGGGAAGGCGCCATGAAGGCGCACATGTTTGGGTGCTCTCTTAGGAACTCCTCCGTCAAGTGGAGGTAACGCTTCCTGATCATGGATTTGTCGCCTGCGCGCAATGTAAGGAAGTGGTTAACTACCTTACATGATGGATCGATATAAGATCCAGCATATAACCTGCCTTCTCCCAACAACTCGAGTTATTGGGACCAACTGGTTTGTAACACGCAAAACCATGCATTATTATTATCATCAAAAAGTGTGTGATCGTTTATTTTTATTTTTATTCGGCCGACACATTTGTCCGAAAATTCCTAGGTCCGTCACTTCATAAAGGTAGTGGGAGGGCTTACACATGCGCTGGAACTTGCGTTTGAGCTCGGTCATGTGGTCGCTGTTGGTGATGCGGAAGTAGAAGTCGGGGTAGGTGCTCTGGTCGACGCAGTTGGCCGGATTGGCGGTGCCGATGGCCATGATGGTGGCCGGACCCTCCGCGCGTTGGGCCTTGCGCACCTCGTCCACCGTGATGTTCGCCATGTCTACCTAATTGAGTAATTAATTATTATACCTTTAACGAAAGGATCAAATTAAGTAACACTGTTTGTCAATTGAAGAACACAATCAAGAATATATGTGTATATATAAGAAACGGGAGTGAGAGAAGGGGTAGTAGCTCTTGCATAAATATATATTCCGGCCGGCCGGCCGGCTGTCTTCATGGCACCACGTAAAGATTACTAATATTAATGTCAGGTCAGGTGCATATATGCATGCAATGCCCCTGCCATCCGGCTCCGGCGCCGGCCAAGCGTAAGAAAATGAAATGCTCGCCGTCGTCTAGAACCAATGAGGCAGAATATGCCCAAAATGCATGAGGCCTTAATAACTAATGAATTTGTTTTAATTAGTTTCCATAATGCATTTAGCAAAAGACATATGATAGTATGATACCATGAACAATATTTTCTGGGCAATGTGAGAATAGATAAAAAAAAATGAAGATCTTACTTGGCTGGGAAAATTGTTCAAAGAGCAAATACTTGTGCCGAAACAGTAATATGCTTTGTCAAGGTGCAGATTGGATGAACCTTTTTTTTTTTTTTTGCCTTTGAGAACAGGATTTAGTTGGCCGGCATCAATGTCTGTCTGTTGATATAGAGGCGACGGCGAGTCGAGGTTAATTAGGGTAATATTAGAGGCAGAGATCTACTTAATTTCTATAAAATTTTGTGGCAGTAAATCTCGCAATGTCTGCCTCACATATATGTCATTTCTTTAAAAGTATCGAGGAATTCCAAAATTAGGACAAACCAACTAACTCGATGAATTGGATATATGATGATGCAAGTGCGAGCGGATAACATTTTTTTATGTCAACTGCACATGTCTCTACACGAAGGTGTATTACCATCCAATTGTTTTTATTTGTTTATGAATTTTTTTAAAACCAATGAACAATAAGTGGATAAACTTGAAGGAACATACAACATTTAGGTCCTTGTTCTAGTACCCTAACACAAACTAAAATAGAAACTACCATTCAATACTCTCGATGAATTCGAAAAACAAACCATGGGTAGGGGGCCAAAATACCATCTAAAACAAACCCTAGAAAATTTAATTAGATCGAGGATTCACACTATAAAACTTGTGCAACAACACATAGATATTATGTAATACATTAGATAAAAGAAGATAGTCAACGCATCAACCTAGCTCGTACAATCTACTTTCCCCCTCTCCTAACTTGAAAATGAAGCAAGATCATTCAAAGACACCTAAAAGAAACATAAAGATTTGACATGATACTAGCGGAACACCGAAATCATCCAAAAAACTGATACTTTTATTATAAAATATTATATATGACCATTCTAGTACCAACATGAGTTTCGTGTGAAAATATATATTTTACCGTTTTTCATTGATAATTGGAGATAGCAATTAACCGAATGATGATCAAACATTGTTGACTGGTGTAACAAAAATGTGGCTTCCCACATATATTTCACGTCATTGGCCGTCGTTCGGAGCCCTTACATGACGTGGTTCTAGGGATGACAATGGGTCGGGTTTTTGTCAAACTCAAATCCAAATCTATGGGTTTATCCGTGAAAAAAAGTCTGGGGTAAAATTTACTGGGTTTGGAAAATTCAAACCCAACCCGCTGGGTATCCGCGGGTTCATGGGTACCCATGCGTTTTTGTCGCAAAATTTTTATAATAACAAGTTCCTATAAAACTAAAAGTCAAATATCAATCTCTCAATACAAATTATCCATATATAAAACACCATTCTAGAAAATTCAAGCAAATCACAAATTAACCATACAAATTGTTCAACACCAATCTAGAAAACTCAAGAAAATTAAAGAAAATCACAAACTATCCATAAACAACATGATTAATTGAAAGCGTTTTCCTCCTTGTCAATTAAGCTTCTCCACTCTCTACTCGATAATATCAACTTCATTCTACACAATTAGAAAACTTAATTCTACATAATTAGAAATAAAAAATTAGACATGTCTCCACAAACATAAAAATTAGTTGTTTAAATATTAAATATACCGGAAAAATTAATTATATGGGTATGGGCGAGTACCCATGGGGCGGGTTTACCTAAACCCAAATCCAACCCGGTGAATAGTGAACGAGTTTAAACCCAAATCCGACCCAAAACCCATCAACACGGGTTTTACCCGCGTTGATCGGGTTGGGTCGGGTGGGTACCCGTGGGTTCGGGTTTTGTTGCCATTTCACCGGACTATTGAAGGGGAGCGGATCAGGTCAGTAACTCATATGCTGAGTAACCATCAGTAACTTGTCCACATCTGCATGACATCAGCATCATCTCTCTCCTAGAAAGTCTTTTATCTTTTCACCATTAATCTTTAACAGACGATTTCTCTCTCGTTTTAAGTCGAAATTTAATTTTGTTTACACAGATAAATCAAATTAAATGGGCTCTTTAAAATGATATACATTTTGATATATGTTTAGTACAAAAAAATTGAATATTTTTTTACCAGTCATTACCATATGGTATGCTCGTATTTAATACCATATGGTAAAAAAGCATACCATGATGGTATGAACATACCAATATGGTAAGAATGTTGAATACATGATAGTATGAGTATACTACCTGTCATTTACGTCTTTCATCATTGTTTGCCACAAGTTACCACCCACATACCATAGTGGTAAAGTATGATAATTTTTGGTCCAGTATTTTTTTCATCCGTAAATTTGTAGATCCAATAGATCATGATGAACTCATTCCTTCTGAGCAAACGTTTTAAAAAATGACTTAAAAACGAAGAAGTTACCATATGGTATGTAGTTGGTAAAAAAAGTGTCTCGAAATATATTGAAAATTGATCTAATTTTGTAGAGCACAACGAACTCGTTCCATGTGTGCAAAAAAAATTGAAATCCGAGTTAAAACGAAGAAGATAAGAGCCGATTATGAAAACTAGGGAAAATAAAATGTCTTTAATTGACAACCCTTAGATACCAATAAGAAGGTTGAATACATGATAGTAGAAGTATATTAATTGTCATTTACGACTTTTAACATTGTATCCCATAAGATACCACCCCGTACCAGGGTGGTATTGTATGGTATTGTGTGGTATTTTTTGGTCTTGTAAGTTGTTCACCCATAAATTTGTAGATCCAATAGATCATGATGAACTCGTCCCTGCTGTGCAAACGTTTTCAAAAATGAATTAAAAACGAAGAAAATACCATATGGTATGTAGTTGGTACCGAGAAGCCAGAATTTTTTTTTCTCAAAAAATATTGAAAATAGATCTCATTTTGTAGAGTACGATGAACTCGTTCCATCTGTGCAACAAAAATTAAAATCCGAGTTAAAACGAAAAAGATATGAGTCAATTAAGAAAGCTAATGAAAATAAAAATGACATTTAATTCTCCATCCGTAAATCTGGATTTTCTAAATGAAGGGTCCAGATTTGGTTATTCCATCCTAACTTGAGCTCTATGGAAGAACTCCTCGAAATTAGAGCCTCCGATTATCTCTTGAAGTCCAGAGTCCAATGGGCTCCGGTTTGGGCCGAGTTGTGGCATCATGTATGGCTCATTGGAACGGGCGAGTAACCCAGCCCAAACCTCCTCCTCGAATCACGACCAGCTCGACCCACATCGAACTGAGAGAGAGAGAGAGAGAGAGAGAGAGAGAGAGAGAGAGAGAGAGAGAGGGAGGGAGGAGGGTTGGGAGTTTTGGAGACTTGGAGGAGCAGCAGCGGGGAGACGTTCGAGGTTGGACGCGAAGACGATCCTCATCTCAGCACCGACGAAATAATTCGTGATCGGAGATTCATTCGCTTCGATCAATATCCGTTTCTCGCCGGTCCCAACGCAGGTAATACGATGGTCTCGGCGGTTCTCTTTCTCTCCGTCTTCATTCCTGCAATCTCTTTTTTTTGTTCGCTTTCTGATGAATTTCCTCCGTTGATCCTTACCATGTCGTCTATGATCAGTTGTGTTGTGTACTTCTATTCCGGTCCCGGAATTAGGGTTTCTGTTCGTGTTTTTCGTATTCAGATTTTTTAGTTAGAATCCTTAGGCTTCCACCTATTTTTTTGAATTTTATCCATCCACATAGGTGATTTCTAGTTGGCGTAGGATGTTGAGGCCATTTGGATCCTCTTGTACATCTACCTCTCTGATTGATAAATTTGTGTCTGTTCTGATGCTTTGCTTTTGTTGATAAGGTATCTGATCTGATGTACTGCTACAAGTTCTCAGTTCGTGGAACTTTCTAACTTATGTGCTGCATTACATTGTTTCTTCTTTTCCGGTGTAGATCATCAGAATCCTTTATTTCGTGAAAATCTTCAGGAGGATGCATGGACTGCGTGTCCTGTGTTATAACCTTTTTAGACTGTGTGAAAGTTGTCTTTGTAAATCTCTTACTGTTGAGGCCCGTAACTTTGTGTTCGAGTTCGAGGTCTTCATGCCAGGAACGATTTTGTAGTGTATACATTGAATCCCAAAACTTCTGCAGTTTCCGGTGGAGAGAACTGTTCTTAGTATTATTTCTATTCAAGGCCTGGCACTCCACATTGCTAATCAGCATGATTATTGGATTGCTCATTGTTGATTCTGCCTACTGACTCATGTTTCATCTATAAGTGGTGCAGGAATGGATGACATAGATATTGATATGTTGATGGAAATACCTGATACCCCTGACAGAGCATCTGGAAGGCAGATCAATAGGGTGCAATTAGGTAGAGCAAGTGGTTCCTCAAGTGTTAGAAATCCTGATTTGATGAATATAGAGCGATTTAATCAGCTGGACATCAGGAGTCGGGTAGCACATGAAAATGTACATCAGGGAAGAACACACTTGCACCCACCAAGGAGGCCTATAATTATTGACGATTTAGAGCAATCCGGCAAGCATACTACATCTCGTACAAATAATTCTCATCCTTTTGAGGATGCTTCTTTGTTCAGAAGAGCAGCAAGAGTTGACAATTCCAGGCCTGAAACTAGGCAACCTAGTGGAGCAACACGTATGGACAAAGGGAAGGACCTTTGTGGTAAGGTTCCTTCTAAGCCGCCTGTTTCCAGAGAAAAAAGAACAACCATGAGATCGGTTGACCAGAGTGAGCATGAGTATGACCACATATTTGACATGGCTTCTCCTCGAGGGACATCAAGGAGTCTTCCTTCTCAAGGGAGATGTAAAGGTCAAATATCAATTGCTGGTGCCCCATCGCGGTCTCCTGTCTCTTCAAGGACAATTCACAATGCTTCTAAAGGCAAGGAGAAAATAGATGTTGGAACATTCAATGGTTCTTGTGCTGCTTTAAATCGTGGTAAAGCAATTGATCTTTCCAGCTGTTCTCAGCATGAAGTGAGCACAAATTTGTCAACTTCTCATCAAAATATTACTCCTCCAAGAGTCACTGGGCGGAAAAGACTAGTGCGCAATGGGTGCATTTCTCCACATAACATAGCCAATGAAGCTCAGAGACAAATCCAAAGATCTATTAGTGTTGAAACAAGCCAACCCCAGAAGGTGGCTTCTAGTGGTCCTTCTGATGTCGATATTAAGGACATAGTTACTGCTGACAATAATTTCGTGGAAATTATGCGAGTTCACAATTCTACTCGGAATGGCCATGTACGAGCAGCTAGCCCTGCACACAATGATTATTCTAGTTTCTTGGAGATGAAACGAGTTCCCCATTCTACTCGAAATGAACGTCCACCAGTAGCTTGCCATGCATCTATAAGGTATATGTCTTTCACTCTTCAGCATCTGTTGGTTTAGCTTCTGTAATCAGTGATTGCATCTCTATGTGCTCATGCATGTGATTTACCTTTCTGTGAACCTACAAGAAAGTTTTGTTTCAATACCAAAATGAAGTTTTTCTCTTACAGTGGGTCAATTGCATCTACCACAGACGGTTTGTAACTGTTATTCAAGCTGCTAACTTGATATTTTATATATATTTCTTTACGTTTTTCTTTCTCTCCTGCTAGACTGCTACTGTGCATATTATATTTGAGTCCATATTAGGTGAGTTGCTCATAAACATTGATATGATCTGACTACAGCAGCCAAGCTTCTGGGGATGGTGTAGCCAACAAAGATGGTGAAGTGAACAGAGATGGATCATTAGCTGGTTGGAGAAATACACGCAACAGAGACGCGATGCAAAGAGCTCCAACCGGTGTATCTGCAACCGGCCGAATAAACATACCACAGGTCATTGGATCCAAAAGGCTAAGGAAACACGGAAATCATGGTGAATCATCCTCGTCAACATATGATGACCCAGAGATTTTGTGTCTTGGTTCGTCCCAAAGATCATCCAGACTTCAGAATCGTGAACCTGACAGCTCGATTAGACGTAACGAGATTTCCCTTGAAACTAGAACACAGAACACTCAGGAATCTGGTTCAGTGGTTGCTGACGAGTCGCAAGCCAGGACAAGGCAAGTAGAAGCCGATGAAATCTTGGCCCGTGAACTTCAGGAACAGTTGTATTGTGAGATGCCAGTATATGGGACAGGCGAGGTTTGTTCAATTCTCATCCTATGCTCCTGTTGACCTTTATTTGGCAGTCCTGATGAGTTAGATACAATACATGGGGGCATAATTTAATGATTAATTGATGCTTCATCAGATTGACCAGAGTATAGCATGGGATTTGGCACTACAACAGGAGGAAAATGTATTTCCGGGTGCTTCTACTCATAATCATCCTGCATTACGTATTGTAAGCACAATTCTCTCAGCGGTACCTATTGTATTCGGCTTAATTTGTAATTGACGTGTTTTTCTGTATCCAAAAACATTTCCTAACTGCTCTCTACTCACAAATCTGTCATATTGTTGGCTCTGTAATGCATACAGCCTCCTGTTGAAGCTTTGATGTTTACTCTATTTGCTGGTTACTTGCTTTTATAGGGTAGAGGAACACAGCCTCGGCCCCAAGCACAGGCCCCACGCAATCCTCCAAATAGAAGAGGAACACAGACTCGAAATCCGATTTCTAGGGTGTCACAGTTGAGGAACCGTTTCAACCGTTCTACTACAGCAGCCCCTAGACGGAGGACTCGTATTCCTGTAGCACTATTTGGAGAGAGGAACCTTCAATTTCCTCCGGATATGGATCTAGACATGGTACCTCTTTGTCTTCATCTCTTAAACTCCTTCCCAGTTTGTCATTATAGTTTATTCTTTCCAACATTATCTTGGGCGTTTGCGTCTCGTCATGGCTTGTGTAAGGTGATCATGACCAGGTGGAATAATTACCAACTTTTGTTGGCATTGGTGCAGTTCGAACATGCTATCCTTGTTTATCATAGCAGTAATTAATCTGTTACGATTTTCTTGTGTTACCTGCATTTTTGCTGAACGTTCATTCAAGTACCTATACTGAAAATAGAGAATGTATGTTATTGGTTTCAGCCACTTATATACTGCTATAATAGATAGCATTTTACAGTGAGGTGGCTCTACCCTTTTCTTTTGAGAGTTTTGTGCTGTGATTGGGTGTAGCTTTTCTGGTCACATATACTAAAACATCATAAACTCCTTGATTTTTGAATGTTGGACCTGGATTCAAACCTTGGAGTTTGATGGATGTTCTTAATTGACCGTGCTAAATGTCATGAACTTAATTCACCTGTGAGCAGGCTGCTGTGAATAGCTCCCTAACTTCTCTCATTCATACAGAGACTGAATATTCTAGAAGCCATGGAGGCTGCAGTTGGAGACTTAGATTATGGAGCTAGCCACCTCCTGAATCTTCAGCGTGATTTCAATGAGTAAGAATATTTCTCTCTTTCATTTTTTGTAGTGATCGACACTGCTCAACGATGAATAAAAGGATTGGGCCTAACATTTAGATTCTATGCTTGCTTATGTGTGTATGTGAATTCTGATGTGCCAGTGGCAATGTAGCTTTGCATAATGCTGTCGTTAAGTAATTCCCTCACGGTCACAAGAGCTTGATTGGTTTTACTGTTTCTGTTATTGAAAGTCCTTGCTTTTTTATCCCATTGGAGGTTTGAAGGTTAATGTGCATGATTATCACAGACTTTTTGTTTGTTATTAATTTGAAGGTTTGTCATACAAGGATAGTAGATCGATTATAATTTATCATTTTATACATGCTGTCAACGTATGTATGTGTTTTTAGCAAATAATAGAAGCGAGATGATTCGTAAAGCACTAGTCTGCCTTGCTGGAAAAAGAACTCTGATACCCCTTGTGTTGCAATGGTTTTTCTCCTACAGGAATGATTATGAAATGTTGTTAGCTCTTGATGACAACAACAGCCAGCAAGGTGCATCTGTCCATCAGATCAACAGTTTGCCAGAGTATGTATTGCAGGTTGGTAATCCTATACTACCTTTGTACATGTACGAGATTGTCCTCTGTTTTTCCAGTGGATGATGCATTTAGGGGGGTGCTTTATAAATTCTCGTGTTTCCGTATACTTATCAGCTAACGAGGTTTGTTTTGTTTTCTATTCATTTCACAGTCCGACAACTTTGAGGGAGACTGTGCAATCTGTCTTGAAACTCCCGCAATTGGTGAAACCATTCGTCATCTTCCATGCTTGCATAAATTTCACAAAGATGTAATGACATCTCCTAACTTCCCTTTGTTTTACGATCTCGTCATTTCTTGTAAGCCATGATACTGTTTGGATGGATGGGTTAATTTTGTTCTGGTTGTGGCAGTGTATTGATCCATGGCTTGGCAGAAACAAATCATGCCCAGTCTGCAAATCTTCCATCACATGATCGCCACGATGTTGATCTCAGTGGCGCTGTCTTCAGTCTGACTCATGCTGGCGAATACCTTTTTTCTGGGAAGGTAACTATGGAAAATATGTGCTCCCCTCCCCAGCCTTGTGAAACAGACTTGTTTTGAGGAGACACCACTTTTCTCTTTCAACTTTGAGTTCAATCGTTACATGAACTGAGACAACGTAAAACAGCCTTAGCGATCCATGCTTCTTCATTACTCAAATCATACGATGGTGGTATAACTTGTAGGTCGGGGTGGTTTGAGCCGATGATGCAGTATGAGCCGAGGCGGTGGACCATTTGTGCAAACATTGGATTGCCTGTGTAACCGATGTAAGGTGTCAACACAGAGCCTGGCGTGTTCTGCTGAAAAGAGATCATGTCTTTCTTAATTGAGCAATCTCTACAATGTTATTGTTTTGTTTTATGGTTGTTGCTTGGAGTGGAATTCCCTCCACCTTGCTGTCTCAAATTTCCAGCAGCAGGCAGCTCTGTTGCACCTCCGTTTTACTCTTTTCTATCGGAAAGGAAAGAATGGAAAGACAAAAAGGCTTTTGCCCAGTTAATCAGTTGTACTATTGAGCTGATACCTTTAGATTCGTTTGAGAAAAGCCTTTCCAAGTCCGATCCATGGCGCTGTCATTTACGTTTAGCAAAAACTACCTATTGATAGTCCATTCACGCCCATGATTTAGCCTCTAATACTGGTATTTCGTGGTTGAACGGCTGGTATGATACGGTTTCATGGACTATACAAAGACAAAAATTGAAAATCCAATACGCAAATGGATATGTGTGGCCATTTTGGCTGTTCCATTTGATTATTAGTTTGCAAATCTAGGCTTACGGTGGATACCATTCATAGATTAGATTTGCTTTCCTATTAGATAAAATTTGATGACTTTCATCTTTGATTCAAATAGATCGATTTGAATCCGACCAAAATGAATCGATCTAAATGAGGTTGTGATTCAATCAAAAACCAACAAGGATACACATTTGAGTCCATATGAATCCAATGACCAGTTCCATTGTCATTCTTTGCCAACTTGGTATTGATGAGTATCTGATGCTCAGATTTCATTCTTAGCCCCGGCCTTTTGTTACTGTTTGTAAATGTTCTCCGCTTGGCAGAGAGTATAACACAAACCGGCTTCCACTTAGACTCTCCGGTGTTTCTTCTTGCTAGGGTTTTATGGCAGAGTATACTTTGGGCGGTAAGGAAATCATCAGTCATATAAATAAAGTTTCAAAACCAGTGATTGATTTGTACTGGTCTAATCTATCAATCCAGACCATGCCAGATATAGAATGGAACACACATTTCGGCTAGAAGCAGGCAGAAATACGATCCGGCAGTAAAAATGCGAGCAAGTACCCATTGAACTAAACGCGGATTAAGGCCAGTAACAAAGACATCACGGTCGTGGTCTGCCAAAGATCAAGGCAGTTGTTCCTTCAAATGGTGTATCAAATGCGATATAACCAAACCTGGTTTGGCAAATTCCAGTTTTCTAAACAAACAGAAGATCAAATGCTTTATTGTGTTGCCCTCTCCTATAGAGGGTTCCGGGAATCATTCCCCCAAGCAGCGACGATCGGATTTCACTTGGCATCTTTGGATAAGAGGTTTTGGCTGTCTATTTTCTTGGCATTGCAAAGACCATCCACACAATCCCCTCTTTCGAAAACAGCTGCTGCTCCCATTCCAGTTCCTGCACATTGGAGTTGCATGGGACATCATTGGATCCACCAATATCGGTCCAATCTAGAACTGAAGGAAGGAACCAGATGATGTAGTACGATTGTGATCACCTACCTATGCACATAGAAATGACTCCAAAGCGAGAGTCTCTACCACGGCGCTTCATCTCATGCAGCAAAGTAGCCACACATCGAGCACCTAAAATATCATAAGGAAAATGTTAAATCCAATTCAATGCAATGCAAGGTAAACCAAATTATCATATATTAATTTGTTACACGGGGACTAGAACCTCTGGTTTTGGTATAAGGGGAAAACTACACCTTATTTTGTGGCCTTATGCGAGGAAATGAATTAGAGCTTATGTGGATCTGAACTTTAGTGGCTTATTATGGTTCTTTTTCTGGGCAATTCACAATTGATGCAGTTAGACTGTAATTACCTGTTGCACCCAAAGGATGTCCAATGGCCATTGCACCTCCATTGACATTGATCTTCTCCGGGTCAAGTCCAAGCTTCTTGCGGCAATAGACAAACTGGGAAGCAAATGCCTGCAAACCTAGCAACAGTTAGTTTTCAAAAGAATACAAGGACATTAATGCAGGTCCCCGAATGCAACTATAAAGACAGGAAGGGAAAATAGCAGGATATCACTCATGCCTCATTTATCTCAAAAAGGTCGATATCTTCAAGCTCCAGACCAGCAAGTTTAACAGCTGCTGGAATTGCAGCAGCTGGACCAACACCCATTATGGCAGGATCAACACCAACAGCAGCAAAGCTCCTGGGGGGAAAAAAGAACGGTTTTTGAGGTCTCAACATCAGTATCAAGCTCAAGAGAGCGGAAACTCAAGAGGTATGTGAATGTGTTGCAACTGAGACTTTCAGAATTAAGTGTCTAAATATGAAAGTTGCCATCCAGAGGACATTCATTATGGTATCATTTAGCAGGAATAAAATCTTTACACTTCGTAAATTAAGAAGAATTCACCAACAATGTTGCATTCACATATAGCCCATTCAACTAAATCACAAAAAGCAACAGACAGCTAAGTGCAAACTTTCTGCCCTGAACATGATGTCAGAGTAATGGTCCAGGATTAGAACATTTAAGTACCAATATAACTTGCAAAGATTCCTTTAAAGTTTAAAGTGAACAAGTGGCTAACCAACCTGAACACTCCGAGGATGGGTAGACCCTTTTGCATTGCAACACTTCTCCTCATGAGCAATACAGCCCCAGCACCATCACTCACTTGGCTTGAATTTCCTAAAGATCACAATACAACAGCTTATGAGATGAAGATTTAGAAATACAGTGCCGTGAAGGAAAGAAAATGCAATCAATTCTACCAGCAGTAGTGGTTCCATCTTTCTTGAAGACGGCCTTCAATCTGCCCAAATCAGCCACAGTTGTGTTAGGACGAATCCCATCATCAACAGAAACTACGATGGGTTTCTCGTCACCAGTCTTCGGGTCAACAATCTATAAGAAAGAAGAAACGGATCAACTGATGCAGATACAAGAAATTAAACAAAATAGATTGCTAGAAGGTGGTTGAAACTGATATATACCTTGGTAGCAACTGGGATGATTTCATCCCTGAATTTACCAGCAGCAGTAGCGGCAGCAGCTTTCCTATGGGAATCAACCTAATAGCAGACATAATTAATGACTGAATTACACATCATGATACTAATATAACCTGAAGTTCCTTTTTTTTCACTTACTGCCGCTTCATCTTGCTCCTTCCTAGTCACACTGAATCGATGAGCAACATTTTCTGAAGTGACACCCATAGGCAGAAGGCAATTTTGAGCTTGTTCAAAAATTTTCACCTGCCACATATATTATGGTGGACTGAGTAGTGAGTACTTGGTAAGTAAAAACCAACTTGCCAATACAAATTCATAACCAACAGTAAACTCACGGAAGATACGTACTTTTGGGTTCACATCACCATCCCAAGCCATCGGGTTAACGGTCATGGACTCCAACCCAGCTCCAATGCCTAAGGTTTCAATAGGGGCATTACAAGGCCGCATAATCATGAACCACAACAAGTTCCCAAACACACAAAAGAAAAAGGCACCCTAAAAGAGAAGATCTCCTACCAATGTCATAAAACCCAGCTTTGATAGCTGCAGCAACATCAGCAACTGCCTGAAGACCCGATGAACATTGCCTGTTAACAGTCCTGACAGGCACGGTTTCTGCAAACACGTCCCACGAAAGAACCAAGCCTATTAGCCATAAAAGAAGCAACACCATTTACAAAGAGCCGACAGCTGGGTGAGGCAAACATACCAGGGATACCAGCATAGAATGAGGCCATCCTGCACTCACTGGCTCTTTGTGATCCCGGTGCCAACACCGTTCCCACAACAATATCCCCAATTTCGCTTGGGTTAAGATTTGTTTTCTCTATCACTGCCTGCATACCCAATTATTACCAACCATCCACGACAACGAAGCAACAAAATCAAACTTCCCACTTCCCAGATAAATTGGGGCATTTGTTTTAAAACAATTCTCGATCATTCAACAGATGCAGTACCTTCAAAACTGGCGCAAGCAAATCATCGGCAAATGTATCCTTGAAATTTCCACGTTTGGACTTGCACAAGGCAGTCCGATAAGCCCTGCAGAAAATTACCGAAACCAAAACACGTAAAATAAACACTATCGCTTTCTCACTCGAAAGATCGGGTGAGGGCGGAAGGAAGGAAGGAAACACTCACGCCACGATCACGACATCGTCGCCGAACACCGAGTTCCTCTGGTAGGCAGCGCTGTCCCCAGCCGAACAAGCCGAAGCCTAGCGGAAATTCCCACGCAAGCCAAATCAATAAGCGCAAACAACACAGTATCAAAATTCAAAAATATCTCCTATGGAACAAATCAAGCCAGCTGAAATAAAGTTCAGTCACACCGCCGGGATCCGCCGAGCAGATCACACAGAAACACAAATCCGAACACAGAGAGAGAAAGAGAGGCAGAAGCAGAGGAAACTCACGGAGAGATGGGAGTCATGGGCGTGATCGGAGGAGGAAGAAGGGCGGAGGTGATCGAGGAGGATCCGCTGCCTGTTGATTGCTTTCTCCATTGCAATCGGTTCCGACGAAGACAGAAAGGGGGATATGAATTATGAGATGAAATTGGGGGAAAATGAAATGATCTTTTCGGGAAATGTTGTTGCGTGTGTAATGTGGAGGTTTTATATATACACACAAAGTTTGGCGGTCTGATCTTGGCGAGTTAATGGGAAAGAGGTGATGATGTATGTATTACGTAACCGACGAATTGGATCGAGACGTTGAATGAAATCCTTGGGGGATGGGGATAATGATATGGTTTTCCTCGTTCGGCACACACTCCTATAAATCTCAACTTCCTCTCTTGTCCGTAAGCGCGTGCAAAACATACGCGAAGGGTTGATGTTTGGGCCTCTGAGGCCCGATTTTGCAATCCATAATCCGCTTCTTCAATTTTCGGCCTTTGGGCTTTGAGGCCCCAATCACTCATAGTTGGTACGAAGCAAGGTTGTTAACCCGCGGGTCGACCCACTTTGACCCTGATCCGATGAGAAAAACGGGCCGCACGCATCCGCCGGGTCGACCGCTAAAGGTATCGGGTTCGAGCTCAAATTGGGTCATTTTTTTCTTTGGTTTATGAAATGCGCCTATTTTTCGATTAATCTTTGGAATCCTTAGTTGAACATTTGAATACTGATGTTATATAAGTGTGTGTGAATTTTCACTATATGTTGGATCTAAGTACGACATGTTACTTTGGTGTAATGTTACATGTTATTACTCGTATGTTAGATGATATTTGATATAATTTATCAGGATAAGTACAATATAATAACTCTTTTCGTATTTCCGGGCTGAAACAGGCTAAAATGGTTGACCCATTAACCCTTGACCCACTAGCTCGACTGGGTCCGGGTCAACCCGCGGGTTGACAACCTTGGTACGGAGCTATGAATTTGAACCAGGCAATGGCATTGGCATGGTCTCTCAAAGGAGGAATTTTACAATACTTTAAAGCATTAGTGCTTTAGTTTTTGTCTTTATGGTACAACTTGAAGTTATACTTTTAACGTTATGGTACAACTTTAGATTGTACCCTACCTCTTTTGTAAAATCCCTTTATGGTACAAATTAAAGTTGTACATTTAAGTTATGGTACAACTTGAAGAGTTGAAGTTGTACCACAACATAAAGATCAAATTTTTTTATGGTACAACTCTAACTTGTACCTTTAACGTTGTGGTACAAGTTAAAGTTGTATGGCTATTCTCAAAGACTAATTTAACCGTTTGTCCTATCCATTTTTAACAAACGAGCCCACTACTGTTTTTTTTAAAGACAATTATGGCCTTTCATTATGATGTTACCTATTTGGTTTTTTTTTAACCATTTTGTTATTAGGTCCGAACTGAAGGACCATTTTGTTACTTTGTTCAGCTGACATTTTGTTAACGGGCCAAACTTTTGTAAGCATTTTTTGTTACATTGTCCAGAATCTAGATATGTGTGGTTTTCAGGTTAGATTGAACATACCCGTTAGTGGTTAAATGTTAACATGGCGATCATATGCCAATTTAATATTAGCGGCAGCATGGTGGGTTGGGCCAATACCTAGCTGTATGCGGACAAGGGAGAGAGCGAGGGTGCGGGAGGATTAATTTATGCCCACTAAAAAGGCGAGGCATAGTGACTGGTGAATGGGCCTAAAGCGAAGCAGGCTCACGGGTGACATTCAAGTATGAAAGTTTGGAATGGTCCAGAGGCCCACCTAGTTACGTAATTGCTGGGAGTGGGAGGGACGTGATTGGGTTACTTGGTTAGTAAACTGACTAAACACACAAATTATTGTTTCGAGTTGATAAAATAAGCTAGTGTATGCACCAAAATAAATAAAATAAAATAAGCTAGCGCTACTTAGGGGTCCAGGTTCGTGTCAGGTAACCCAACATAAACTATTAGGAAACCCAAATTAACCAATTACCCAAAACCGAAACTAAACTCGATAAGCCACTAAAGAATTCAGTTTCGGTAAGGACATGTCATAAACCGAAAATGAACATTTGATTGCGTTAAGTTTTATCGATTTATTCTCGGTTTATTGATATTTTTTATTGTAACTGAAATTGAAATTCTTAAGGGATGATTCCTTTTTACCAGTTAAGGGAAACCAATAAGCCCATAAAATCGATTTGGTTTCAGTTTAAATCCGAAAAACCGAAACCAAGCCGCCACACCTAGTGCTACTATAAGTAGGGCGTGAGTCGGGTCCATAATATCTCTTATCATTAGGTCGTTCCATATCTCTTGTATATCATTATCATAATTATACTGGTCCATAACATAAATGGTAGGTTAAGGTTTGTCTAAAAATCTCGTGGATACGACCCCTTGTCAAACCACATGCTCGTGCCACAAAAATTTTAGAAAAAAGTTATTGACGATCAAAATCAATCAACTAATAGATACGTACATTCGCGTAATACACCTAGAGATCGTTTGACATTCATGATTGACTTATATTTGTCGTATTACGCAACGAGCCAAAGAAATAATACATAAATATTAGTCAACAGAACCATAGAAGAATGGAGGGGAAACTTGTGAATACAACTTTGGAATTGCCGACGGTAGAGAATTGCAAGCAATGATGAGTGGCTTGATATGCGGAGTTTCTTGGCTGGACAAACATAATTGTGGTGATTATAATATTTGCGATGATGCTAATAACATGAAATCCCCTCAATCTTGTGCTAATCCCCGCTAGAGATGACTTTAATTTCGGCCCCACATTTGGGTAGAGTGCATATATTGGCAAAAATTGCCCTCCAAAGCATCTGGTTGGGTTGGTTGGTGCAACAAAACATGAATTCATTTACAGAATCTTGTTGGGGGAAAAGTGAAGATTAACCCCATGTGATTGTGGGGTTAACTAATTGTATGCATGATCAAGATTACATATTTAATCAGAAGCTATCTCGCTCTCCACTGCTTTTTACTTTGTTTGCTTGTCCAATTAATTAACTCTAGTTTAATGGTCTCTTATTCTTGATTAACTTAATTGCAAATTTGAAATCCCTAATCCCCTTAGATATATATATGCCATAAAATGACAGAAAATTAAGCAATTATCTTACCACCAGTTGTAAATCAAGATACAAAATCAAATGAAGACAATTTTTATATAACATAGAGACATTGCTTTGTGTGTTATCACATGAGGAACCTAGATAGCATGATCAAGCCCTAGAAATCAAACCAAGAGCAAGCAACCCATCTCGCATCAACATCTACCTGCAATCCCGCATGCTACCATCCGCTGCCCTTAGTACTAGATTGGAAGCACACACAAAAAAAAAAAATATATTACGACGGCGACTAGGGATGGCAATATTGCCCATATCCATGGGTATTTTACTATCCAACCCAATTGGGTTGGGTATGAAATCCAAATAGATATTAGATGGGTAGAGTTTGATGGGTTTGTACCCATACCCATTTACTTGGGCTGGGTTGGGTATTTAACATATGGATTTGGGTTTGTACCCATACCCAAATGCAAATTACAGTTTGGTACCTAAACTTAATAGTTATGCATATTTAGTACCTAAATTTAATTTTTTTGCATATACAATTTTAGTACCTAAAATTTTTTGGTCTCACATTTTGGTGCCTAAACTTTTCAAGTTTTTACAAATAGGTCCAATTTTTGTATGTGTAGTTAAAACACCCTCAAGTAAATGGATATCCATATCTAACCCATACCCATTTAGATAATATCCATATCTAACCCAAATCCATATACAAACCCCAAACCCATACACACATCACCCAAACCCTACCCATAATAAATGGGTCTACTTGGGTTTGGGCAAAATTACCCATGGGTGGGTAAATTGACATCCCTAACGGCGACAGTACCAAAATTCAACTTGAAGCCTTAGAAGGCGGAGGACAATGGTACAATAAATCATTGGGTGTGCACTACCACTAACTAATCACACATTACTTCGACTTCTTCTCGTTTATTTATTTATTTTATAAATGAATGCAGCGCATCTCAGCATTCATTCAAAACCAATCATGGTTGGGGTGCCCCTGACAATCATATACAATGTAGTGGTAAAGTACATAATACAAAGTCGGCATAAAATTATACCCAGAAGATGCCTGTAACTAGCTAAATGGTCCATACACTTGTTACCCTCTTGATAGATGTGGGAAAGTCGAACTTCCCATTTTACTGAGTTAACAGCTCTTTGAATATGCAGATGGCAACTGTTAGTATGTGGTATATGATACAGAATTGAATCTCTCCCAACAACTCGAGTTATTGGGAGTTGGGACCAACCGGTTCTTGACATGGTATCATAGTCTTTTGTGACTGTGAGGTCTTTTGTTCGAATCCTGGTGACCCCGTTTGTGAAGCACATGAGTATCGTGTATTCAGACCTGTGCAAACGGAAACCCTTATGAGGTTACTGACTTTCGTTTGAGGGAATGTGTTAGTGAATGATATATGATCCACGATCGAACCTCTCCCAACAACTCGAATTATTGTAACGAACTGGTTCTTGACAGCAACAACATTTCTCACTTCCAACTGACAAGATTCTCTCTCTTTTTATTTGCAGGGAATTTTTTTTTGTGGTTGACTTTAAATAGTGTGGCTGTCCACTTCTTCCCCTTTTTAAGAGTAAAAATTACAACCCGTACAATATGTGATCATAACATTAGCGAATTATTGTTTTACCATGCTATAGCAAGATGCTTCGGCCGATTCATTATTTCGGTCAGTTGAGTAAGAAACAAGGAAGGAACGGAGTGCACATTATATATGCAGTACTGCAGGTGGGTTGGACCGGCGTCGCTTTGGATGCAGCCTTTGCCCCCCAGATTTCCTGGCAAATGTGTACTTAATTATGCTTAATAATTGATTAAACATTGTTTTCATGCTGGTCTGCATGCCAACCGCAGTTTGCTTAAATCGTGATTATTGGAAATGCCTGATTTAGAGGGTTATCAACTTAATTATATGGACTCACTCTTGCTGCAAGCAAAGAATCCACACTGATTGAGGGAAATTTACAAAAATGTTAAGCCCACCTCAGTCAACTATCCAAAACATACATGAAATAACATTGTTCATCATATTTTATAGGGCAATGTCTATTTTTTACCCAAACCTTTTTCAGATTCTTTTATTTTAACCAAACCTATAGAAATTCTATTTATTATCCAAACGTATTATAATTTATCAAAGTCTGGGCATTCATTCTGTTACCGTTACTTATTTCGTC